CTGTAGCTCCTCTTCCCACACACTCAAACACTGAGTGTTCTTCAGATGTATTCCCTAAAGCAGAGACCACAAATGGTGCTTTGCATGTGAGTCTCCATCTAAGCTCTCCAGCTAAATCATCCCCTACAACAAGTAATGGTACTGATTGCCATATTTATATACCATGGTATTTACATGATACTCCAGTGTACTTCAATGAATATCATGGAGAAATCCAAAAACCATGGTATCGTTAGTGACAGATCTGTGTCCTTGACATTGAAAAGTTTGTAAACCCCTGACATTGCCATTGTTATCAAACATTGACAAACCTACCAGCCACTATTGACCATGGTACCATGTCCAAAAAATATGGTAAGGTTGCATACACACAAGAGAAATGTTTGATGTGCAACAATGCACAAGATATGTTATGGAAGTCTGGAAAAAGCCATATCGTTTTGAAATCAAGTTGAAATACAGTGAATAAAGTACAACTGTTCCAACTTTCTGAAATTCTCATTGCTCAGTGAATGGCTTGTTCAGAGAGCAATTGAAAAGCAACAGTTTGCAACCACTTTTCCAAACCTTTGCATTTTTTCCCCCTCTGGGACTTGCACCTTCCACATTAAAGTGAATAGATTCACAGAGTTCTGGTAGGATAAACTGGCAGAGTTTGTGGCACTTTAAAAACACGTTATTTGCTTAGAATGTTTGTCACAACTTTGGCACTTGTTGGTTTTACCATCAATTACATTATCTGTGGATAGCTTCTGGTTCCCTTCTAAAACACTCAGCAGTCATGAGCTTTCTTTTCCAAACAAAAGGCTCTGTTGACGTTTGACGTCTCTGTTCTGAATACCCTACTGAAATATCAATGTCAATCGTTAAAGTACTCGTTAATCGACTAGGGACCCTGTAAGTGGTAGAGGATCCTGATGGATTGTGAACTGAATGCAATCCATCTTTCAGTTACCACAGAGGAGGCGAGGTTCTTGCCGTTGGGGTGTGGGGGAGGCTGTCAATCCAAGCTTTTATTTTAGTTAAAGCTCAAGGATTGATGTAGGTCTCTCGACAGCCAACTTAAAACAATCATAATCACATTATACTGCAGAGGCTGATAAATCTGTGTGTCATTGTTGTAAAGGGATTGCCATGTTCGTGGATGGTAAGAGAGCAAGAGCACTGAAGGCAGGATGACCCCACACTGTGTACAAAAATCTATTTGTGCCAGGATCCAGAAATATCTCACATGGAAGCCATGAAAAAAACTAAGCAGAAACATAATGTCTAAACTAGATATCTTAATGTATGAAATCCTTTGTAGAGGTCCAGAGAAGGGACACATATTTACGTCTTTAATTCATTTTGTCCCACAGATCCAGGCAAATGGAATTGCCTAAAAATATCTCATTGATCAAATTGAGTAATATCTCCGATATACAGTCAGGAGTCTGATAAAGTGTTAGCTTGTACCAAGTCCATGGGCAGCAGAATTTTACCACAGTGAACTGCGTAACAGTCGAGGGTTATCAAAATATAATGAGAGCAACAGAATACAAGCATCTTAAGAAATTTAACTTGACATATTTGACAGTAATTGTCTTGAAATTTATTGTTGAAGGCTGTGAGTTTGTTACAAAAGTGATGTTTTGATAGCTGTAGCTAAATTTAGAGATGCAGCGTCTTAAAGAGAGTTGTTATGTCTCTAACTTTCAACCCTCAAATTCCCCCAGAAGACACTAGTTTAATTTGCTAGCAGACTAGTCGATTGTCGGGTGACTAGATGACTAGATGCCAAACTATCAAGACTACCAAGGTACATTTAAGAGGGGTTATTCTCCAAATAACTCTAATTTCATGTTGCAGGAAAATGTGTTTAGAAATTGTGTATGGTCTCTTGTTCTTGTTCCAAGTTACCTTCCTGTCCACTGATTTTTGCCTCTCACAAAAGCCACAAAGCCTTCCAAGAAGACAGTAAAGGCTTATGTCATGCTTGAGCATTAGTTAGGCTGAAACTTGAAAGTAAAGTTGCACGACAAATGCAATGTTTAGGTATTATTTTTTGTTTTTTTTACTAATATTTTGATTTATGCCTTAGTTTTAGTTTGTACTGTTTACCTTTTTTAAAGTCATTTGAAATAGATTTTTGTATTTTTATTTATTTATTTTATTTTTTATATATATATTTTTATTGATATATTTGTATTTGCATATTGAATGTAATTTGGCAATTAAATGCATTAAATGGGTTTAGTTTTCACGGTTATTAATGTATGCAATTTCAGCAATAAAAATGTAAATTTTTCTAAAAAGAAAACAAATTAGTTGTTTATTTTAAGAGACCTATCTTATTATCTCTTGTATATTTAGTATTGCTCTTTAATAAAGAAAAAATACTTCTTATCCGATTACTCGATTAATCGATGGAATAATCTGTAGAATACTCGATTACTAAAATAATCGATAGCTGCAGCCCTACTCCAGTGCCAGAAGTCCAATTGAGTACAACAGGGAATTTGATGCATGTGGCTTTTACATGAGTGTCCAAATCCCATTTGATTTTACTATGAACAGACTGTGGAATGACGTAGTGACAGATACTTCATGCTGCATATATGGGTATCTTGTGATTGGTATCTAATGAACATTCTTGTGTAAACTCCACATAAATCTTCTTTGTATTCAAGAGCATGTCAAACTCAAGTTCTGAGATGTTTCGGTGATGGAGGGCACTGGAGACCACACGCACAGCCGGCACAACATGTTGGTGTGACAAACGCAAAGATCTGTCTGCTGCATGTCTGAAGAGTCGTTATCATCCATCATACACAAACTTGGAGGGGAAGCCTTGCGGTTTGGGACATGTGCTTAGATGATGCTCAGTGATTGTTCCACTTCTTTGACTGTCTGTGGCTTTGATTATCTACAGTACTGTAATTCAAACATCATGTGAAGGCAGCATAACATCCCATTCACACTGACAGTGATTTTGTAGAAGCAAAGCGACCAGAAGTCATTGATTTCACTGACACATAAAACAAAGTTGAGCATTATAAATAATATTATAATTATTTGCCGATATGAATGCTGTTAGTGTGACTGTCACTTCAAGGCTAATTTACACTGCACTGACAAATGAAGAGCAACTGCAACAGACATTCGTTGGGTTTACTTCGACCAGTGTGTTAACCCTATTGGTGTCTGTTACCATTGGTCAGTACTAGTTTTCGCCAATTAAACTTGTCACGTTTATTGGATCGTGGCACTTCTGAGAAGTGACATACTGTGATCTGGTGATTGTTGGACATGGAAATGTTATTTTGGACATGGTACCATGGAAATACCATGGCATTCTTTGGAGTACCTTGAAGTACCATAAAAATGCCATGGTAGATGTATGTTGGTAATGCTTGCAGTCTTTGAGGAACCAGTAAATTTAAAGTACTAAGATATTCTGTAGTTCAGTGTCATTTTATTTATCTAAACCTCAGTAAGTGTGTATTGAAATCTACACTGGATGTACTTGCATAATATTAATTTACTTACTCTATAGTATGTGTATACATATTAGGGCTGTGCGATTTGGGGGAAAATATCAAATTGCGATTTTTTTTGACAGATATTGCGATTGCGATTTGATTTGCGATTTTAAATGTGCAAAGTCAAGCTTCAGCTCAATATTGCCAATGATGTGCAGCACAGTATGGGTATCATTACCAAAATCATGTGGAAGAACCAGAAAAGATGCCTTTACGCTTTTGTTAGCAATGCTAGCCATCATGCTAACGTGATCTAGCTGTTTTCGTATTTCTGCACTCTTACATAGACAAAATATGTCAGTTGAGCTTTTAAAATATGTCCTAATAAACAAGTCTATAGGACTGTCATGCTTTTTATCCACCTTCCAAATAACTAATTGAGATTGATATCCAGCCCTGCTTCACTCAATAGAGCAGTGGTTCCCGAACTTTTTCTGCCGGGCAAAAATATATAAAAAAATATTTTCTCTTATTCTTACCAAGGCTGCATTTATATATTAAAAATACTGTAAACACTGTAATATCGTGAAATGTGTCCATTTTAAATATCTAGGCCTATTTGAATGTTTTAACATATACTGTATTCCTGTGATCAAAGCTAAATTGTCAGCATCATTACTCCAGTCTTCAGTGCCAGATGATCCTTCAGAAATTATTCTAATATGTTGATTTGCTGCTCAGTAAACATTTCTGATCATTTTAATGCTGAAAACAGCTTTTTTTTTCATGAAACAATTTTTTCATGATTCTCTTATGAATATTCATGCACCCTCCCAGACATGACATTGATTGAAAAAGTATATATTTGATTTGAAATATTGTGATTGGCATAGTAGCCTAATACTTAACCAGCCTACTTGCCGTCTTAACTTGTTCGGCTTCATACTGGTGAATCTAAATGCGAGATATGCCTAGTCATTTTCTTGTCTTTTCACCACACTGAACACGACGGCCACAAGCAACAGCTGATGTCAACTGGATGTGACAAAGTGAACATTGCAAATCCAATTGTCCTTTGTGTCAGAGCGCTGGAGTTCATCAGAAATAGAACGGGGCATCAGTTTACTGTCATGGATTTGTCGTGTCGCATGACTCGCGTCGCACCGCATCAACTGATGCTTCTATTTGCTTTTATCCCGTCGCGCACACATTGTTTTTGTATTTGTGAATCTTAAGTATATTCATCATCTGCTTTACGTACCTGACACTGGCAGTATTTTCACAAACTTGTAACTTACATGCTTAGAGCAGAACCATGCATCGTTCATTTATATTTCTACATGGCTCCCTGCGATTAGGAAATCGCAACGTCTCAAATCGCGATTTCGATTCGATTTCGATTAATCGCACAGCCCTAATACATATGATACATATGATATCATACATATGACCACTGTACATTTGCCTGGTTAAATTTGCGTCTAGTTTGTCATGGATGAAATAAATATTTTCCTTTCTTTTTTGTTTTTTTCTCTACAGAAGCATAAAGTCGACCTCTTTTACAAACTCCGTCACGTGATGAGTGAGTTGATTGATCTGAGGCGACAACTGCTTTCAGGCCACCTGACCCAGGATCAAGTCCGTCAAGTCAAACGCCACATCACTGTAAGACTGGACTGGGGCAATGAGTGAGTTACTCTCTTTTACCTCTCAGAAAATGCCCGGGAAAAAAAATCAACTGAAAAACTTGTCTTAATTGTAAGATGCTTTAAAGGTGATGCTAGTAGTGTTAGCCGTTTTTTAAATTGTGGAAGAACCAGCAAAGATGCCTTAAAGGTGTGCTTACCAATGATAGCCTTTATGCTAACTTCTACCATAGTACGAAATCTTGTGGAAGAACCAGCAAAGATGCCTTTAAGGTGTTGTTAGCAATGTTAGCCATTATGCTAACTTTAACCATGGGTCATGTGGAAGAACCAGAAAAGATGCCTTTAAGGTGTTGTTAGCAATGTTAGCCAT